CAGATCTGGAAGGGGCTCCCAAGTTGCAGACTCCAGCTCCTACGATGAGCAAGCCCCAGAACAAGGACCCAGATCTGAAAGAAGAGCCATAGCTCAACTGGAAAAGAGAAATCTGAAAGCCAAAACGGCTGGAAATCCGATTGAAAAACTGCCCAGGACCCAGGCAAGAGCACCAAAGCGAGAAAAGGAAACAAAAGCAGGAAAATAAAAAGGGTTGGGCTACCGCCGGTCACCTAAAAGGAGCCGGCGGCAGCCCACTTTGTTTGTCCGTGATTCAGTATTTGTTAATTGAAATTTGTGGGTGAGATGCGAGTATTTCCCGGCCTAATTGAAATTACGAGTTTGATTAAGAAAAAGAGCTAGCCGCCAAGATTTTGACGCAAATTTGACGCGACACGTGAGCGGCGGCGCTCCATCTGCAGCCACAAACCCACACACAAACACAACCAAAAAAAGCCTTAGCAGTGCGCAGTTGCGGTGGCTGTCTTTCCTTCTTCTACCATTTTCCTCTATAATCAGGAAGCCGGCTCACCGCAAGTTGGCCGCCGTCAAGTGTCACGCCCTGGGAGCTGAGAGGACTTGGCAATGGAGGAATTCTCGGTAGAAAGAGAGCAGAAAAGAGGAGAACAGAGGAGAGAGAGAGAGAGAAGAGAGAGAAGGGAAGTGAGTTTGTTATTGATCAGCTGAAAAGTGGTTACAACGGTCTTGGCGCCCTCTTTTAATACCCAGAATACAAATACCCACTTTACTCCCTAAACTTCTATTTCTTTACAGCTTAGTCCTGTTCGTTACAACTCCCCACCTCTTCACAGAAAGCTTGTCCTCAAGCTTCAAAGTCTGGAAATCTTCTGTGGAAATCTGACCAGACTTCCCACGTGGCATCTTCTTCGGATTGGTGAGACCACTGCACCAAAACCTGCGTCAAAGGCTTGTTGTCTTGTGCAATCACACGCCTGGCCAGAATAGCCAAAGAAGCCAACTTGAGCACACCTTGATCATCCATCACAGGTAAGGTTGGCTGGACCTGCAGAGAGTCATTCAACCTGGCCTTCTTCAACAACGAGACATGAAACACAGGATGAATGGAGGATTCAGCTGGCAATTGTAGTTTGTAAGCTACAGCCCCAATCTTTTGCACAATAGGAAAGGGACCAAAGAACTTGGGAGCCAGCTTCTGGTTAACCCTATTTGCAACATAGGTTTGACGATAGGGCCTCAACTTGAGATAAACCAAGTCACCTTCCTGCAGTGTTCTCTCAGTCCTGCGAGCATCAGCCATCTGCTTTTGCTTGTTCTGAGCCTTAGCCAAGTTTTGGCGCAAAATGTCCACCAACCTATGCTGCTGCTGCAACCTGTCAGCCACTGCTGCTACAGAAGTGGAAAGGGGATTCTGAATGGAAAAATGAGATGGAGCATAGCCATAGAGGGCCTCGAAAGGAGTGAGCTGAAGGCTGTTGTGGAAATTGGTGTTGTACCACCATTCTGCGAGTGATAGCCAGCCAAACCATTTCTGTGGACACAGATGAACCATTCCCCTCAAGTACTCCTCCAAGCATCTATTCAGCCTTTCTGTCTGACCATCAGTTTGAGGATGGTAGGCAGTAGAGTATGCAACTTTACTCCTTGTAAATCAAACAACTTAGTCCAGAAAGAACTTGTGAACAAAGCATCCCTGTCAGACACAATAGTAGTGGGCATGCCATGCAACTTAAACACCCCATCAAAGAAAACCTGGGCCACTGTCATAGCTGTATATGGTTTGGACAGGCCAAAGAAGTGTCCATACTTGGAGAAACGATCAATCACCACCAATATAGCATCTTTACCACCAGAACTGGGCAACCCTTCTATGAAGTCCATGGAGATGTGCTTCCAGGCTTGATCAGGTATGGGAAGAGGCTGCAATAGACCTGGGTAGGGAATATTCTCAATTTTACACCTCTGACATACCTCACAAAGGCTGATATAGTTCTTTAGGTCAGACTTGATTCCAGGCCACCAAAAATACCTCCGCAGCCTCTGATAACTAGCTTGCACTTCAGAATGACCACCCACTGGTGAATCATGGAACAGCTGCAGCAGTTGCTTCCTCATCTCCCCACTACTTCCCACATAAATGGCTGACTTATGGTAAAGTAGCCCTTGAGAGAACCAATACAGTTTTGGACCAATGAAGGGAACAGCAGCTTCAGCAATCAACTGCTGACTCACCTGATCATCCTCATAAGTAGACTCCAACTCCCCCAACCAAGCTGGTAACACAGCAGTAACTGGACAGCAACTCCCAACTGTGACCATAGCTGCTGCCAAATGTTGTTTGTGACTCTCTTGATCAGGGCTGTAAATCAAAATATCATCAAAAAATACCAAAATGAATCTCCTGAGGTAAGGGCTGAATATCTTGTTCATCAATGCTTGGAAGGTGGCAGGAGCATTGGTGAGGCCAAATGGCATCACAGTGAACTCATAAAGACCCTGGTGTGTCCTGAATGCAGTCTTGTGCTGGTCCAATGGGTTCATCCTGATCTGGTGATATCTAGAAAGTAGCTTTGTAAAAAACTTGGATCCCCTGAGCTCATCCAAAAGATCATCAATGACAGGTATGGGGAACTTATCCTTAATGGTAAGATCATTCAGTTTCCTGTAATCAACACAAAATCTCCAGGAACCATCTTTTTTGAGAACTAGTAACACTGGTGAGGCATAAGGGCTCCTGCTAGGCTGTATATACTGAGCTGCCAACATCTCCTTCACAAGTCTATCCATTTCATTCTTTTGAGGGATTGAGTACCTGTAAGGCCTGAGATTCACAGGATGGGAGTTTGGCTGTAGTGGTATGGTGTGATCACAGTCCCTTGATGGAGGCAGGGACTGGGGTTTGCCAAAAACATCACTGAACTCCTTCAGGACTGAATCCAGGAATGGAGGAGTTTGATTCTTGCCACTGCCCTGCTCAGGCACCCCATCCAATTTGCTTAGAACTTCTAGACTGCAAAGCTGACCAACAAAAGCAATTTCTGACCTATCCCACAATCTCTGCAGACTCTTGCCCGATATCATCTTGCACTGAGCTGTGTCCTGAATACCCTGCAACACCACTTCTTGTCCTTCCCAATCAAAAAAGAGCTTCAAGTCCACAAAATCAAACTTAACTGGGCTAATGGTTTTGAGCCAATCCAATCCCAAAACTGCATCATTAGATCCTAGACTAAGGATTCTCATATCATACTAGAATGCCCTACCTTGCATCTCCCAACAGAACCCCTTGCACACCCACTGACTAAGTAAAACAGTGCCATCAGCAAGCTTAACCCTCAAAGGATGACTGGCTGGCACAAGCTGACAATGAAGTTCCTTGGCTTTCCTCTCACTGAGAAATGTGTGAGTACTGCCAGTATCCAATAGAATGAAAATCTTTTCTTTCTTCACCTTTCCTTGAACTATGAATGAGCTGGCCAGACCCCCACTATTGAGGGCTTGCATTGAGACCTCTTCCAACTCTGGGTGCTCCATCTCAGTACCCAGATCCAACACTTCCTCCTCATACACCCCACAATTTTCATCAGGAGTGTCTTCTTCACTACCTGCTTGAAGCACATTGAGTTGCTTCTTTACTCCACACACATGCCCAAAGAAATACCTATCCCCACACTTGTAACATACTCCTCTGGCACCATTGTTCTTCTGAGGAGCCACAAGAGTTTTAACCACCCCTGCTGATTTGGCGGAAGGCCCTTCCCAACGACGAGGAGCAGAAGAACTGCTTGGAGAGACAGTAGAACGGCCAGAATAGCTCTGACCCCCACGCCATTTCTTCTGTTGAGCCAGATTAGACTCTTCCTGCAATTGTGCGAGTTGGAACGCATCCGCTAATGATTGAGGCTTCCACATGTGCATCACCGGCCTTAATTCCTCATCCAGACCGCTAATAAAACTACCGATGAAGTAGATTTCATCCAGAGCTGGATTGAAACGCGCCATTAACGAACGCAATTCCTCAAATTTCTCTTGATATTCCGCCAACGAACCACGCTGCCTGAGTTTGTTGAACTCCACTACCACACCACCATAGGATCGATTGCCAAAACGCTGGCACAGAGCTGCCACAAACTCCTCCCAAATCAGAATAACCTTTTGGTCCGGAGGAAGGGAGTAGATCTCGAAGAGTTTTTCGCATTTACGCGTCCATTCGCGCGGATCCTCGCCATTAAGGACGGGAAATCGAGACGAGGAAGTTGATGATTATTACCTGGGGCCGGAGCCTGAAATTGCTCCCGCTCAACAGCACGAGGAAACGGAGCTGGAGCCCTAGGCAACTGCGCTATGGCAGGATCAATTCCCCTGAAACCTTGTGGTGGAAGCGGCAGAATGCCTCGGCCCCCATTCCGGTCAACCAGCGCCGCCGCCGCACCAGCAATGGGACCCGATGGTCGTGGATTCACGAACATGTGGAGCATCTCCCGGATCTCCGTCGTGAAATGGTCGAAACGATCGTCAAAGCGATCTTCAAGTTTAGTGAAACGCGTCGCCGTCCCGGCCTCCATGGAATCGAGCCGAGCTGTGAGATTGACGAATTGCTGCGAATGGCCATCGGCACGAGTGACCAACTCGTGAAATCGAGTTGCTTGAGATGTAATCTTGGCGTCCAAATCGAGCTGAGCTTGGGACGTCGAAGCCACGAGGCTAGCAAGGCGATCATCAATTGATCCACGAGTCGCCGTCATGACTGAAGAAGCCAAGTCAAGGCTCTGATACCACCTTGTCACGCCCTGGGAGCTGAGAGGACTTGGCAATGGAGGAATTCTCGGTAGAAAGAGAGCAGAAAAGAGGAGAACAGAGGAGAAAGAGAGAGAAGAGAGAGAAGGGAAAGTGAGTTTGTTATTGATCAGCTGAAAAGTGGTTACAACGGTCTTGGCGCCCTCTTTTAATACCCAGAATACAAATACCCACTTTACTCCCTAAACTTCTATTTCTTTAAAGCTTAGTCCTGTTCGTTACAACAAGCGCAAGAAATACGGAGATGGGTTGCTCCTCTTCGATTCACCGACTGCTCTTTCTTTTGCTCTCTCTCACGCTTTCTCTTACTTATCTTGTCGACGTATATGGTATATCTCATTGCTGTGGTTCTTGCATCAATTGACGGCGATCATGTTCACCGATGGTAATCGTTAACGGGTTTGGTTTCTTTTGGTTACCGGCCAGCTGGGAGCGAGGATATTGTTGGCGGCGGGAGTACCCATTTGTACGGCAAGATATTGAAGGATGAGGCCGTGGAGAGGCTCCATGAACTTGGAGAGGTTAGTTTATTAGAACATTTCTCATGAGCCAGAGTCATAGTCCCCTCATTCAAATTGATTGTTACGTCTTCACTCATCAAATTGATCTTCTTTATAGCTATTTCGGCGTTGGTTTTCTGCTAGGAAATTGGGAATCTTTGACAGGGGAAATGTGTACATGATATATGAATGCTGGTATTTTCTGTGATAGTGAAGGTCAGCGATGCTGATGGATATCTTGAGAGGACATTCATGAGCCCAGCCTCTGTAAGGGCAGCAAATCTCATACGTCACTGGATGGAGGATGCCGGTTTGACCACGTTGGTTTCCTTCCTCTATGAAACTTGAGATGTGTGATGATGTACTATTGGCAGATGATGAATAACAGTGTTGATAACAGGTGGATCGACACGATGGGGAACACACAAGACTGATGGTTTTCTATATCTGTTCCCATTCCTTGGTTCCCATTTGGTGAGGTCCTTTGGCCCTGTCTCCTGTAGTGCAATGTCTGATGATCTTCTACTGCTATGGTTCTCTTGGTGAACACACAAGACTGATGGTTTTCTATATCTGTTCCCTTTACATAGGATACCGTCATTGATGCAGGGATATTTGATGGGTCACTAGGTATTGTCTCGGCCATATCAGCTTTGAAGGTTTTGAAAGAAACTGCAAGGTTGGAGAAACTGAAACGGTCAGTTGAGGTAAGCTTTAGTCAGACAACCCACATCTCACTTATTCTCCAACTTTCACTCAATGCAAGCTTTCAGATTTCATTGGACTCTTTAATCAAATTAGTACTTAAGTGCTGTTTGTTTTCTGATTCTTGTAGATCATTGCCTTCAGTGATGAGGAGGGAGTGAGGTTTCAGTCTACTTTTCTTGGCAGTGCTGCTCTAGCGGGTGTCCTTCCAGCTTTAGCTTTGAACACAACTGACAAAAGGTCTCATTGGGCAACTGTTCATATTGATTTCGAAGTACTAAAGATCCTTTTTCCCTGTTTTGGTTTGTATTCACGAATCAATCCTTGTACCAGCGGTGCAACATTGCAAGATGCTCTTAAGCAGAACGCTTTTGCAATTACAGAAGAAAGCCTACGACAACTCAAGTATGATCCGCAGTCTGTCTGGGGTTATGTTGAGGTAAACAAGTACTTCAACTGCGTCTTTAAGAAGATCAGTGAATTTCCTTTTAGACTCAGCTGTTGACATCCAGGCTTTGTTTCCAGGTCCATATTGAACAAGGACTAGTCCTGGAATGGGTTGGATTTCCGCTTGGTGTTGTGGAGGGCATAGCTGGGCAGACAAGGCTAAAGGTAACAAACCTGTTTAGACCGTCTCTCGAGTCTTGATTAACTTTCACTTAGGTCAGTAAAAACGCGATCAAGGACACTCGGTATTTTGCAGATTACTGTGAGTGGCTCACAGAGACATGCTGGAACAGTTCCCATGTCCATGCGTCAAGACCCCATGGCTGCTGCTGCCGAACTAATTCTGAGGTTGGAAACCATTTGCAAGAATCCTAAGCAATTTCTATCCTATGACAGTCAGTGCAATGATGCAACTGTGGAATCACTTTCCAATTCCCTGATTTGTACTGTTGGCGAGATTTCCACTTGGCCAAGTGCAAGCAACGTCATTCCAGGCCAGGTAAGCTTTTCTTTATTATGACAAAGAATTCCACTGTCGATAGCATGCAATGTATGGTAAATACAACAACAATCCATCACATCACCTTTTGGGCCTAAAAAATGCTGTCTTCATGTCCAAAGGTAACTTTCACTGTGGATTTGCGTGCAATGGATGACATGGGTCGGGAAGCCATTCTGTATGAATTATCTGATCAGATATATCAAATATGTGATAAACGATCCGTCTCCTGCAATATTGATCGCAAGGTGAGAGTTCAGTTGACTGCTTATATCTTCGATAGTACCCTTATGAAGCTTTTGGTTAGGAGCAGAACTGCAAGCTAGACTGAACGGTTGCTGGTTTTTGTTGTAGCATGATGCAAACGCAGTGCTCTGCGATTCAGAGTTAACCTCACAGCTGAAGTTTGCAGCCAATGCTGCAATCGAGAGAATGACAGGCGAGGTCCAAGACGAAGTTTCTGTCTTGATGAGTGGTGCTGAGCATGATGCAATGGCTATGGCTCATCTTACCAAGGTAAGGGTTTATCATCTTCATCCATCTTCCTCTATTTACTTAAGGTACTCCGCTCATGGTTATACGTTTCATAACCGCTATCTGTAACAATGGAACAGGTCAGAATGCTCTTCGTACGCTGCCGGGGAGGAGTTAGTCACTCTCCTGCTGAGCATGTGTTGGATGAAGATGTCTGGGCTGCTGGTTTGGCCATGCTCGCATTTCTCGAAACTCATATGTAAATAAGAAATTTGTGTACAGAATAACGAAGAAAGAAATTGTAATATTGCTATCTGTCACTTTTTCATTTGTACGCAATTCTGAGCCAGTTCAAGGTATCACTGAAATTGAGAGAATCTTTGTCCGACTCCTTTCTGCTATATTTTGACTAACATAGCAAAAACCTGAAGAACATACTACTCATGAACAGATAAACGGCAAGCAAAGGCTGCAATTGAGGTTCCTAATAAGATACAGGTCATCACAAAAACTAGTTTAGAACAGATACACTTCCTCCTCGACCCGAAACGGGACAGGTCTATCTACTGTTGTTATAAGTGCAAGCTCTACGGCACAAATGAAACTTACATATAAACAACAGAGGATTGATGGCCCAACTGCTATAGCTGGTGAACAACATGAGACATTCTAGGCCGCATGGATGGTACATGTTGAGTACAAGCATACACGAGGTCAACGACCTTCTGAATGGTACCAGCTTCTGGAACTTCCGACGAAGAAGATAGAAACACATGCGGACCTAAGAGCTAAGGGGAGTTGAGGATTCTCCACGCTTGTTTAGCTAACAAGGCCATGTTAAAATCTTTGAAGCTTCGGAATCCCAATCCCCCCTCAGCTTTTGGAGCACATAGGATTTCCTTCCTGCACCAGTGCATTGTGCTTTTCTGCATTGACCCTGACCAGAAAAAATTGGAGAGGAGGGAGTCCATCTTCTTTGTCAGGTTCACCGGGAGGTTAAAAAGGTACATGATGTAGGAAGGAATAGCTTGAATGACAGCTTTGAGTAACACTTCTTTCCCTCCATAAGAGAGGAGGAGGCTTTTCCATGCTTCACCCATCTTTTCCATTCTCTGAATCAGGAATTGGAAAGTTTCCTTCTTCGAATTTCCCCATTCCATTGGTACTCCTAAATATTTGGTGTGGCAGTTAGACGAGGCAAACCCGATGTGACCAACGATTGCAGCTTTGTCCACCTCTTATACATTCGCACTGAAGAAAACAAATGATTTGTTGATATTCACTTCTTGACCCGTGATGGTACCATACTCTCTTATAAGGTCCAATATTTTCTCTGCTTCTTGAAGGTCAGCCTTACCAAAGATCACCGTATCATCTGCAAACAAGCAGTGAGTGAGAATCGGGCATCTCGCGTTCAACCTTATACCCTTTAACTGGTTCTGGGAAACCGCTTTGTCAATCAGGAAGGTAAGAGCATTAGACATTAGTAAAGGATGGAAAAGTTGACCGTCCTGATGCACGAGCTAACCCATCTACACCATCTATCATCAAAACCATATTTCTTCAGCAGCGTTTCAAGACATTCCCAGTCCACCATATCATACGCCTTCTTCATGTCCAACTTGAGCATCATGTCCCTTCTCCTTCTCCTCTTATGGTTTTTGAAGTGGTGTAGGGCCTCGTGGACAATAATGACATTGTCTTGGATAAGCCAGCCTCCGGTGAAAGCAGTTTGGAGCTCCGAGATTAGATCAGGCGTCCAGATCTTCAAGCGGATTGCCATGATCTTCGATATAATTTTATATCTAAAATTGCAGCAACTGATAGGTCGAAATCGGCTTATCAATTCTGGGTGATCCACTTTAGGAATCATGACGATATGTGTATCATTCCATCCATTCGGCATAGCAGCTATCTCAAAAAACTCCTTTACCTCTCTACACACCGATTCCCCAACAATATCCCAGAATCTCCGGTAAAACCTACCCGAGAAACCATCCGGACCTGGAGCCCTTTTTGCTCCCAATGAGAAAACCGCTTTCCTAATTTCCTCTCCTGTCACTGGGGCACAGAGAGCTGCATTCATCTCATCTGTAACCTTTTCTGGAAACCATCCATAAGGTGGGAAAAGGGAATACAGTCTCTAACTCTAAAGAGATCTTTGTGGAAATCCTAGGCCATACCTTTAAGCCTATCTTCATCCTCCACCCACTCCCCTCTTTCATCCTTGATTCTAAGAATTATATTCTTATGCTTCCTATGGATCGTGCTAGAATGAAAAAAGGAGTTATTCCGATCACCTTTCTGCAGCCAGCTTACCTTTGAGCACTGATTCCAGAACTCCTCCTCCTCCCTCCACATCTTTGACAGTTCTTCGATGAGATTTTTTTCTTCCTCCACCCTTTCCTGGGTTCTTGGAGGACGTTGTAGAATATCCATTCGCTCTAGTATATCCTTATCTCTTTGTAAGCTGTTCCTATGGAAGTCTTTTGACCATTCTTTAAGATCTTGCTCGCACTTGGCCAGTTGGTTTGTCGATATCCCTCCTGGATCCCAAGCTCGGACCACTATCTCTTTGCATTCCTCCTTATCCAACCATCTTTCATCTACTCTGAAGGGTGTCTTTCTCCTCCTATTCCCTCTAAAACATAGTTCAAGCCTGATAGGGCAATGATCAGATGCCACCATCTTTTCATGGAAAACAATTGCATCCCCGAAGAGGACTCTCCATGAAGTCGAACACAATACCCGATCAATTCGGACTCTCGTTGTATCTTCGCCTATTCGTTTATTGGTCCAAGTAAAGGGATCACCATTAAATCCTAGATCAATAAGCGCATTGTCGAAAATAAATCTTTTAAACGGTTCAATATTCTCGTACCTAAGAGGGCATCTCCCTTCCTTCTCACTTTCATAAATAGCAGCATTGAAATCTCCAACAATAACCCAGTTATCCTCCCTACTACTCCGAAGAGAGCTCAGGTGCTCCCAAAAATCCCTTCTACTAACCGCGGTAGAGGGTGCATGAACAAAAGTACAGAAGAACTTCCTACCCATATCGATACTACAGTCCATATAATAGCTATCACTACTTATAATATTAATACTAATACCCGCTTTCCACCAAAGTGCAAAATCCCTAGAAGAGTTAACCGGTTCGACATACTCTTTGTTGGGGAAAATTTTGGGACTTCTTCTTTGCTCCTCCATGAATGTCTCAATTTTGCTCGTTTCCATGAGGAAAACAATCGAAGGGCCTAAACGTCTACACAGACGTTTCTCATAACTTCTTGTAAGGGTTGGGCCAAAACCCCTACAGTTCCAACTTACCATACTCATTCTTGAAGAGGTGGCTTCTGGCGAACCACCGCTGCCTTTTTCTTCTTTCCTCGGCCCTCCTGCTCGCTTTTTGACTGATTCCCATTGGAGGTAATATTTTTCCCGGACTTAACCTTCAGATTCTTCCTTCTGGGTACAGTCCCCGGCCTACCCAATTCAAACACTCCCATTGGCCCATCAAAAACCACTTCTTCTTCCCTTAACTCGGCACTGGTCCTGAGACCACACATCAGGCCCATTCCCTTCCTTTTCTTTTCCTTTCGGCCCAAATCCTCTTCCCTTCCATCTTGGATATGCTGATACTCATTAATCCCATTTGGTCCTGCTTGTGGTGGACATTGGGCTGGAATTATTGGTTGGGTTGGCCCAAGAGACAAAGTTGTCTCCACCCCACCTCCTGATCGACCCTCACCTCCTCCAACCGAAGCCCTACCTCCATCGTCGCCGCCGCCCTGTCCATCTCCATATTCAGGTTAGTCGCCCCCCTCTCTTCTCTGTATCTCCCTCTCCACCTTCCCCTCGATCCTTGTTCCTCCTCGCCTTGGACCTCCTGTTCCAGCCTTCTCACCGTAAACCCTGGAGGAATTTGAACATTCCCTTCCAAGATTCTTCCCTCCGAGCCGGTCGAAGCTCTTCCCTCAGCCCCTTCCAGTCTACTTTGGCTTCCCGAGCTCGCTTTCTCCCTGCCTGTCGAATAGCTCTGTGACCCTTCCCCTTCCCTGCTGCTTCTGTAGTTGCTTGATTGGAGTCTATGGGGCGAATCGATACTTGCCTTGAGAGACGAGTTGTAGACCTCCGACAGGTACGCGACTCTATTCCTCTTCCTTTCTTCGTTCATCCTCCAACACGTCGGCCAATTGTGGCCAACTCTTCCACAGAAATAGCACAGCTCCACCAACCTCTCATACTTGAACTCGATCACATCGCAGTGCTCGTCTCCCGTGGTTTCGTCTGTGAATGGGAAGTCGAAACCGAGTGGTACTGGTTCTTCAATGTCGACCTCCACCAGAATCCTTAGGAACTTCCTGTACCCGGTGAAAGCCAAGCTAGCTCTGTCCAGATCAAGCATCCCTGGAAAGTAATGAGTACCTATCGCCACCATGTTCTCCTCGCTCCTCTAATTTTGATGAATGCCATGAATCTGCACCCACATGGCAACTACGCGTAGTTGAAAGGGCGTCACATATTTTTTTTTTCAAAATGACAACTGCGCCCTCCCTTTACAAATTTGTAGTTAATTGCAATCAGTCAAACCGGTTTATACGGTTGTGCCGGTTTGGCAAATGGAATGGTACTACCGGTGGTATAATCAGTTTGTGTCGGTTCATGCCGGTTTAAAAAAATGTGAAAACAATTAATATCCAATGTATTTAATCATATATAAAACATATTTGTGGACAATTTAGTTACAATCCAACAAATATCATCAACTTTTAACTATTACATTCATAAAATGAATAATAAAATGATTTTTTTATTCATTAAATTCATTAAAATGATGTCATTTTACTTAGAATGCGTAAGTCGATCGTACCGGTTATACCGGTGGTGTCATGCCGATTTCATGACCGGCCCAGGTTGAACCATGTTCAACCGGGTGGCATGCCACCGGCATGACAACCATGATTGCAATCAACGCTTAAAAATTAAAAACTTATCAAAACAAAATTCATTGGTCGAGTCAAACTCTAATGCTACTAATAAAGTAACAATAATATTTACAAGATACATAAAGGCAAACATGGGTTGGAATTGTCCCATTTCAAATTTCGTGGCCTGAGAGTGATTCTAGTAAGGTCATTTTTGTCATTGCACTCACTTCATCTTTATATATATTAAAATTGTTATCATTGGAGTTCGAACTATGGTCACTTAAATGAAGAAAGAGCATTATAACCAACTAGACTACATTGTGTTTATTGTTATTTTTTTTTATTAAACTCTAGGAATATGTTTGGCGATGATGCTTCTATATTTATAGTTTATCTTAAGTTATTTATATTTTATAGAAAGACATTAGTTCTA